AATTTCTATATTCTCACAAGACTTGGCAACACAGTTGTGTTATCTCAAAGAACAGTGGGAGTTTTTACATCCTCATGTCACTGTTTCCCATGGGAACACGAGCTACCCTAAGCAAGAACACTGCCTAATGAGACTGCACTGGCTGGACAGATGAATACTGGCAGGGCAGAGGGGCACCCGGGGCATCCCTACCACTTCGCCTCCACTTGGAGATCCCTGAACCCTAAAGCCAAAAATCGCAGCTAGTTTTTAAAAAGCACTTAACACAGTTAAAGAACCACTTTGTCAAGCCAAAAATATCACCCCCCCACACACACACACACACAAAGCCATGCCAATCTCCTGTTTTCTGCAGTGAAGGTGACAGCAGTGGACTGGCACGAGCATCACCCAAAGCTCTACAATGTGGCCAAGGACTGACTGTACATTGTTCTTTTTTAAAATAATCATTCCAAATACAATGAGATGCATTGTTATAGGAAGTCCCTTGCCCTCCTAAAAGCCACCCCACTTCTAAGGAGAATGGCCCAGTCCTCTCCGGAGTCCACACAGGGGAGGTGATAGCATTGCTTTTGTGTAAGTTATTAAATGCAAATTTTAAAAAATCTTCACCTTAATATGATTTTGACCATCCTTCATGGCTCCCTTTTCTGACCCCCAACTCGAGATGTATGAAGGCTCTGGTCTCCCTGAGAGTGGCTGGAGGCAGCGACACAGCCAGGGCTTACCTGTACACTGACCTGAGGCCAGTTGAATAAGAGCGCACGCCTTTAAAAACGGGCGGGGGGAGGGGGTGCGGAGAGAACCACTTCGAAGAATTTGGTTAAATCTTCTTTTGCCCAAAAGCCATTTCTAGCTGCTTGTCTTTCTTCCCCATCGCTAACACAGCATATGAACTACATGCCTTTGAACTCAATTATACACCATTGCTAATTGTTCAGTTTAGTCCTTAATTTTCAAGTCTGCAAACTGAGACTGGGGACTTTATCATTTTATACTCAAACATTTCCTAGGAACTATTCTGATAAATGCACAATAAATTCTTTAAAAAATCAAGGGTTGATCAGGATGTTATTCCACAGCCTCAGAAAAAAATAGGTTTTATTAGCGTTTCCCACACACAGGCATGTTTCTTGTTTAAGGAAAGCCTTTTTATTGATATAACCCAATAAAGGAAAGACAAATCTTTTTTTCAAACTACATGGTTTCAGAAAGGGGTGAAAAAACTTGTGGAGAAAATTTTGATAGCCACAAGACTGGCCATACTGTAATAACATTACATGCTTAGTTTGGCTATCAGTTCAGTTCAGCTACATCACCCCAACTCTGATCTCTTAACTACAGGTAAGAATATGTCCTGTGTCACATTATAATGCTGAGCAAATACATCAGCTCATTAAGCTGTCACTGGCATTCATTTGAGAAGTGTTTAATAAATGTTGGGTACTTGGCGCAATACACAATGGGGATAATCTATGGCGATACTGACTCTGTGATTAAGATGAAATCCTACAAGTTATGTATATATGAACCAATTTTGTGTCTAATACAAGGTCAGTTGTCCAAGACACACCTCAAAGGCAATGGTAATTCAGAAAGCCTGAATGTAAACCTGATGGATGATGCTGGTTTCTGTAAAACTGTGTCTTCGAAATTTATAGACATCTGGGCTTATAGTCTTCTTATATCCCAGAATCTGGAACATCCTATGGGCACCTCTGGGATGATGAAAGGGCTCATGTATTGAAGTCAGACAACCCTGAATTTGACTCCTGGCTCTCACACATACTAGCTTTGTGACCTTGGGCAGGTCATTAATATTTAATCCCTCTGAGGTTTGGTTCACTTCTTTGTAGAGCTCAGATAATACAAACGCTACAAAGTTGGCTGTATTTGAGATGGCTATACGTGAAGTGCATAAAATAGTGAAATACATGTGAAATCCTCAATTGTCACTCTCATTTTGTATCTAATAAAAAATGCTAGGAGTGGAAAGGTGTTGCTTAGATGAAACCAAGTAAAACACAGTAGGGTAAGGAGGTAGTTTCAGGACAAAGGATGTTTGGAGTGCATCTTTTCTTCTCCAAAGCATTTAGTTGACTATCAATATTGGGTATAATGGCAGAGCAGATTTATTACTCATCCTACCATACTCATTTTAATATTAAACCTCTCTCTCATTGATTTAAGAGATGAGGTCTTGGCTGGGCATGGTGGCTCACATCTGTAATCCCAGCACTTTAAGAGACCAAGATGGGTGAATTACCTGGGGTCAGAAATTTGAGACCAGCATGGCCAATGTGATAAAACCCCATCTCTACTAAAAATACAAAAATTAGCCAGGCATGGTGGCAGACACCTGTAACCCCAGCTACTTGAGAGGCTGAGGCAGGAGAATCTCTTGAACCTGGGAGGTAGAGGTTGCAGTGAGCCAAGATCACAAACCATCACACTCCAGCCTGGGCAAGAGTGAGACTTCGAATCAAAAAAAAAAAAAAAAAGAGAGACAAAGTCTCACTCTGCTGCAGTGAGAATGCAGTGGCATGACACAGTAACTTTTTTAAAGTCACTTTTAAACACACTTCAAATTCAGAAGTGGCTTCCAGAGTTCTCTCACTTGTGCTGAAAACCATTCACCAAAAGCCACCTGGTAAAGAGAATTCTATCTAGTCAAAGAACATTCCATCAGTAATGCTGCATTACACACAGCTCAATTAAAAGTAATCTTTAAAGCCTGGCTTCCTGGAAGGCTGGTTCTACATCTCACTGTAGTTTAATGAGGCAGGAGAGCTAACTGCTTGCTCATCTGCAGGGACCTCCATGCTCCTTAAAGTATCTGTCTAAATGGGTCTGCATGTGTCCCAAGGATGAGGACACTGGTTTCTTACACCAGTGCTTCAAGATTTTACACATCTCTCATTAAGACAGATTCTGACTCAAGAGATCTGGGGGCAGAGGCCGGGGTTCTAATAAGCTCCCAGATCACACTGCGCGGCTGGTGTCCAGATGATACCTGAGGGAGCGCCATCTATAGGGCTAGGACAATCAAGTAAGGGAAACAACATCTTCTATTCTTAGGGTTCAAGATAAGTAGATTATAGAAACAGGCTAAGACCAATGGAATACAGAGAACTCCTGACCTCCATAGGGAAAATGATCTAAAACCAAAATCTAAAATCTTTTCACAGACCATAAGGATCAACACCTCTTTCAAGCTGAAAGCATCCTTTCCCATTCCTTTAAACAAAGTTCTTTATTCTCCATAAAACATCGTTTTTGCTAGATATCAGTTTCTTGGAGTAGCTGTTAGTGAAAACACATGCCAAGGTGCTGCTAGTGTCTTCTGTTGAAAGTAAAGAAATGCCACAGTGCTTAAAAAAAAAAAAGTCTGAAAAAGATGACAGCAATAGCATTAACAAACAGCATAGTTGGGCACCAAATGGTTTCTGAAAACCTAATGTGCATTCTGTAACTGTCACTGATTTATGTGAAGTCTGACCTTCAGAGACTGCATAAATGAGCAAACCATCTCAGAGACATTTCCCATGTTAAATTAGAGGCATTATACCGTGCTGATAGAAAAACAATGTGTCCTAAGAAACACTGCGGTTGTGTGGATGAAAGGCAAGGCTGGAACCCAGCAACAATCTTGCTGCCACCACCACCAGGTCACTTCACCAGCTGGGTGACCTTGCTCACACACTTAGCCTCTTGAAGACATAACCTGCCAGTTGAATACACTCCTTTGTCCTCTATTACCTCTCTCATTTTGTTCAGCATTCACCCCCCACACATGCCAATAGAAGGCAGCCTTTTCCAAGCCCAAGGAGTGACTGTGGATTTGCCTAAGTGATCGTTGTCCCTCCACGGCCAACAACAGATTTAAAATCAGAAGTATGTGATGCAACTGATGGTGCTTCTGCACCCATAAATTGACAGCCCTGGAACCACATATGTGTATATGCAATGCTTTCAGCTGCAAGAAACGCTATGACTGATTCATAGGCTACAACCTTATGAGGAGTAAAACATGGTTTTCTTTCAAGTTCGTTTCTAGGGACTGCTGTGTTACTTTGTACTACCCACTATCTATCCTGGCAATCTGAACAGAGTTCTACGAGTCTCAGAGACAGTCAGGTGTGGGCATATGATCACAATACCTTGCACAGCACTTATGGAAAGCAGACATCCAATAAAAGTTTATGGGTGCATGCTCCCTTACCCAGTGAGAGCACTGGAACAGAAGCCAAGAATTCAACGGTGAAAAACCTAAATCAACTCTCATCTCCAAAGGGCTGCAAGCAGGATAGTGGTTTTCGCCTTTCAGAGATAAGAACCACCTGGGAAATCTTTTATAACCACGGATTCCGTAGCCCTATCCACGCTTAGTTTTAACGAGCACGCGGGTCACTCATTTACAAACACCCAGGTGGATCTGTGGCCCCCCTTTTTTAGAAAGACTGTTTTTCCTCTGCCCCAACAATCTTTTTGTTTTCACTCAACACAACCACTCACAATCCTCTCCCTTTTTCGTCCAGTTGCCTTGACAATCACACTCCGCCCCAGCAGAAGGTCAGAACACAGCCAAGTGCCAAGAATTGCCTTGTTGACTTTGTACTTTCGCAACAAAACACAAATACAAAAGCAGCCATCCGTGTTCGCTATGCCCCACTGTTTACACCCAAAATCCGATCCAGTCTCCTTCACAGACTTGTGACCTCTTCTTCTCCGACTTCCACCACGCAAGTATTTGAGGGAGCGACAAACATCTTCAAGATCTCAGGGTACGCACCCTAGATGCAAACTCAGTTGCCCGGTGTTGCTCTGACTCCTATTCAACCAACACTCAAAGATTCACACCGCGCAACCGGCACCCAGCATGTTCCAGTGTAAACGCGACCGAGGTCCCCAGGGCGTTTCCAAACCCCTCTTTTACGGTGCCGCCTCCCCAGCCGGCCCGGTGCGCAGTGGCGAACGCCCTGCAGAGCCCCCAGACTTACCTGTAGCATGTGGCGAGCTCGCCTGACGGCTTCAGACACGGGTATTTAGTCGTCGCGATTTTGTTCTCTGAGCAGATCTCTCTACGAAAAAGTGCAGAGGAAACGTGCGACTCTCAGCGGGAGAGCGGAGGCGGGCAGCGTGCGCCAGGGAATCCCTGGCGCGTGGGGATCGCTGGGCTCCGCGTCCCGGCGCGCTGGGCAGGGGCTGGTCCCCAAGCGCGGACGCGGAGCGGACTCCAGGCACAGGGACGAACCAGGCGAGGGAGAAAGGAAGCGAGGCTCACGAGCTGTGCCCGCTGGAGTGGCATCCCGGAGGAGGCAGGAGCGCAGGACAGAGGGTGTCCCAGACGCAATCTACAGCTGGCAGGGAGCAGAGGCTGATACCGGGAGCTGCGGGACGTCTCGCCCAGCACAGCTGAGCACCCCGCTTACGGCCGGAGCAGCTGGGGCGTGCGGATGGCTGCGGGAGTGGGCTCCGGGAGGACCGTCCGCACCCCGCGCGCCGGCTCGCATCACGCTGGAGCTCGCCCTCCGCCGGGGCTGGCAGCGCTTACCTGTCGCCGTCCTCGGGCTCCTCTCTGTAGGTCCACGTGTGTCCCAGCGCCAGCAGCAGCAGCAGCGGACCCAGGCTCCTGCCCAGCTGGCCCCTGGCAGCTCCTCCCCGGCTTGGAGGCGGCGGCACCATCTGGGAAGCTCCCGGCTTCTTCCCAGCGCCCGAGCTCCGTCCCGGCACCCGCGTCCGGCTGGTCCGCGGCCGCCGCCGCCGCCTTCCCTCTTCCCGGCAGGGGGCGCCGGAGAGCAGGGGCGTTCGCACCACCTGCACCGGGAGCAGGGGCCCGGGATATTATGCGACTGGGAGGAAATTAGGCTAGGAGTTGGGGTGCCGGATGTAAACCAGCAGAGAGGCAGGTAAAGGGGGTCCCTGCGGTGTCCGGCTGGTGCGAGGGAGTTGAAGTCCAAGTCGTCTCGTCGGGACGTTCACGCCCGATTGACAGACTTGCTGGACTCCGCTTGGGGCAGCGCCCTCGCCTCTTCCCTCTCCCTCCTTCGGGAGAGCCGCGCAGGGTGGGGAATGCGGGTGGTTTTTTGCATTTTGCACCAGGGTCGCACGACCGACTGGGAGGAGGAGGAGCTGATTCTCCACCGGGGAGGGGACGAGGGAGGGGGAGGAGAGTGGTTAATAAGCTTCCTTCCTGTTGTCTGTGGATTTCTAAAGCCCAGGGTCAGACCAGTGTTTGCCTTTCCTCCTTGAGGACCTACCCTGCTCTTTCCAACTATCTTAGTCTTTTCTCTTAGACTCTGCGAGGAAGGAGTTGAAAGGCTATAACGGGCTCTCGAATTGTTCAAACCTGAAATAGCTCTATTTATGTAGTGTAATCAGTCTTCCTTAAAAACTTTAGAAGTTCTCTGATTGTTTCGTTGGTCAATAAACCATGCGCTGTCTTTTTCATAACTCGAGTTCGGAACAAGGAAGGAGGTCTTTCTGGGAGCCTTACATCTCCTTGCCCTGAGCGGCGTTAATACTGTTTCCATGGCACGCACATCAGAGCTGGAAACGCCCCCCATCAAATGAGACACGTGGGGGCAAATTAATCACAGGTGCTGCTACCTGCTAGTGTATGCAGCTGTGTTTATAGGTAGCAACACCGAGCAGGGGGCGGTAAATCGGCTCCCTGGACGGTGGCCCTAATTGTAATTTGTATGTCAGTATCTTAACACTTGGTTGCACTTTAGGAGTTTTCTCAGTCCTTTCAAGAGAAAACTAGGGACGTGGATGTGGCCCAGAAATAAGCTGAAAAAGGAAAGGTTCTAATGTCTAAGCTCTAAAATAAGTATGGTTCTGCGTCTCACAGAACAACGAAGTGAAAAAGTGGCTTGTTCACAAGTGATCGGTGTGTAAATTGGTTAGGTAAGCACGTGTTTTCTTTTACATAATATTCTGGTCAACTGAGAATTACCAAACGTATCACACATTGATTTATTTATTTATTTATTTATTTTTTTTATTTTTTAGATGCAGTCTTGCTCTATTAACCAGGCTGGAGTGCAGTATCTCAATCTTGGCTCACTGCAACCTCTGCCTCCCGGGATCAAGAGATTCTTCTGCCTCAGGCTCCAGAGTAGCAGGATTACAGATGCATGCCAACTAATTTTTGTATTTTTAGTAGAGATGGGGTTTTGCCATGTTGGCCAGGCTGGTCTTGAACTCCCAGCCTCAAGTGATCTGCCCAACTCGGCCTCCCAAAATGCTGAGATTACAGGCAAGAGCCATAGCACCCAGCCTACACTGATATTTTTGATAGCAATGACATTCTCATTCTTCGGTAGAATGCTATGTCTTTTCTCAAAATTTTTTATAATCAAGATTTTATTTGGTTCCCACAATATCCCTTCAATCTGAGCATCTGATTTCTTAGTTCGGTGAGGTGTGTTTTTTATTGGTTTGTTTTACAAAACTTACATATTCGGAAGACCACCCAATTTATATTAAAATATGACACTGCTAGTTAACATAAATGAGTTAATTTTTTATTTGATCATTCAGAAGACACTTCAGAATCTTGCAAAACTAGAGAGTGACCATCATGAGATCAGAAAAAAACTTACCATGAGGTCAGAAAAAAACTGGATTCAAACTCAGGCTGTTGGTTTCCTGGAGGACTGATCTGCAGCAAGCTACTTAACTTTCTGGCACTCTGTTTCCTCATTGGTAAAATGGGGAAATATCTCTCATCAACTTTTATGAGTATTAAATAAAACAATGCTTATATAGCATTTTGTCTATCATGCCTGGCATACATTGAGTGCCCAGTAACCATTGTTATTACTTGTAACATAAATTATTGTATTGCACAGAACTTTTAAGTTTTTGCCTTCTAGCTTTCTAGTTTTCACTTCCTAGATATACACGAGTCCATTTTATAACAATTGTTTGGGTTCCTAAAGAGACCTCACTAAGTACATGAGAAAGAAACTCCTTCTGGAGATTATGATAATTGTATCTCTTCAGATTGTGCCAAAAAGTGTTTGATTTCCATCTTGGAAAAGAGAGGCCATCTTGTACGAGGCTCCACTTTTAATTCCTTACCAATTACTGTATTTTGACAAGTTGCTATCTTTTTTTTTCCCTCATCTTCGCTCATTTTATTCTTCTACTGTTGCATTTTAGACATTAGTTGTACAAGTAATAGAGCGCGGTGTTGGAGATTAATTATCAGCTTCATTAAATAGTTACCAGGCCACAAGTGGAGACCTGCGGCATTTCAGGGAATTCAGGCTGCAAAATGATAAAAGCAAAGCCACGTCCATTATACACAGCTGTGTGGCAGAAGACTGACATCAGAGCTGACTTTGCCGCCTTTTTATTTTCAGCTCCTGGTGCTGAGCGCCCTCGAGAAGGAGGGGTTAGAGAATTCATTGGGGCCAGCAAACAGCTCAGGTTTGCACAGGGAGGAAATCCCAATGGTGGGTGGTCACAGCATTTCATGCATTTCTGCAAGAGGTGAGCTGGAGCTGAAACCTGAAAAACCTTTGCCTAGAGGCCTGTAATTTCAACCTACTGGCTGCTACTGACAGCATGGGATGCTGGAAGGGGTTGCTGGGCTGGGGAGTACTGCCAAGCTGGAAAGAGGTATGGATGACCATGTATGGATACCCGCCCCTAAAAAGCTAAATACTCCTGTAAAAGACAAAATCTGCATTGCTTAGGCTGCGAGCTGCGTGGGAGATGTCAGTGCTGAGGATGACTGTGGTGGGAGCCTTAAGGGTGCTGGGTTTTCTTTCCTCCCTCCTAGACCATGCACAAGCCCAGGCCTGCCCTGTCCCCTCACCTATGAAACACTGGTCTGAGAGAACTTGCCATCCACCTCTTTCGTAGGAGTGTTACAAAGATTAATGACTGGGCCCTAAATGTTCCTTGGGGGAGGCTGTGTGTGATTATGTGATTATTTCTTTTCAGCATACCACTCTTTGCAATGTTTTTCATAAAGATCTGTCAGTTTCCCTGAAACAAACCAGAGAGTGGATAGTTATACAATTTACTGTGTCCTGGGGACGTGCGGCTGTGTCTGGGGCTTTCTAGTGCATACTGTGTTACAGGTTAGAGTCCTTGATGGACCAGGTATTGTTAAGCAGTACTGCTGCCTGTTGCCTGGGGGTGGGGTGACTGGCTGGAGAATAGAGACAGGGCTGTGGACAAAAGTGAAAGAATAAAAGAAAAGTAAACACCAGGCCACAGGGCAGAAAATACACTTTAAATAAAAGCAATGGTTCCATCTCAGTTTTAAGGACTCCAACATCTTATTTGGAGAAAATTAGGACATAAAGAACAGGCCACCACCAATTTGAACAATTTATTTCACTATATTTAAAGATTTTCTTATAAAAAGGATTGGTGGTGGCTGACAAAAATACACTATTTTATTGTGTGTGTGTGTGTGTGTGTGTACATATATACACAAAGTGTATGTAGTATAGGGCAAAATTAGATAAAGAAATTAAGCCAAAGGAAAAATCAGGATCAAATAATAAAGCTGATGCTGTGTTCATTGGCAGGGCCGTATAAGGAAAGTCCTGTGCCACGTTTCAAACAGATTACAAATCAGTTCTCAAATTCTCAGTCAATTCAGGATAATTACATGATCAGTTACGAGAGTCAAGGTAACCATAAAAGAAAAGCCTATAAATTGCTTAGAAAAAAAAATGACAGATTATTCCTTCTGGTCTCCCCAAAATATAGCAACAGTCACCTGACTGTAAGGTAAGGTGAAACAAGACTCAACAGGTGTGGGTAAAGTTCATATTGTACTGTGAGTGATAGACAATAAGACATCCCTAAAATAAACAGGTTGCCCTGATACCTTTCCTTTCCTTCAGTTTCAGTTTTGATTGACGTTCAATGAGGTCTGCTTAGTGAATTTGTGTTACAGCTGGGTATGGTGGCTAACACCTGTAATCCCAGCACTTTGGGAGGTTGAGGCAGGTGGATGACCTGAGGTCAGGAGTTCAAGACCAGCCTGGCCAACATGGTGAAACATCGTCTCTACTAAAAATACAAAAATTAGCTGGTGGTGGGCTTGTGTAATCCCAGCTGAGGCAGGAGAATTGCTTGAACCCAGGAGGTGGAGGTTGCAGGGAACCAAGATCACGCCACTGCACAAGACGCTGTCTCAAAAAAAAAAGAGAGAGAATTAGGAATACATCTTGAAAGGCGTGAGAGTGTACCAGTCTCCAAACCATTGTGGGGGACTGCTTGAGACAAGAAGAATAAAAACATGTTTTTAAAACAGTAAATGGATATTAAAGCCCTGGTTTGGGTTATGTGCATTACCTTTGCACTAAGCTTCTCTTCGTTTTAACTTGCACAAATTCTGAAAGTTTATTGAAGCTATGGGTCTCTGAAATTTTCTCCCAAGGCAGGAAGGAATGTTTGATTCCTATGTCCATAATAGAATCACACCATTTTCCCCAATTTTGAAATAAAAGCAATTTTCAAAGATTAGTTAGCTTTATATGTGGGTAGGCACACTCAAAAATGTACAAATAGGGCCGGGCACGGTGGCTCACGCCTGTAATCCCAGCACTTTGGGAGGCCGAGGCGGGTGGATCACGAGGTCAAGAGATCGAGACCATCCTGGTCAACATGGTGAAACCCCGTCTCTACTAAAAAATACAAAAAATTAGCTGGGCATGGTGGCGCGTGCCTGTAATCCCAGCGACTCAGGAGGCTGAGGCAGGAGAATTGCCTGAACCCAGGAGACGGAGGTTGCGGTGAGCTGAGATAGCACCATTGCACTCCAGCCTGGGTAACAAGAGCTAAACTCTGCCTCAAAAAAAAAAAAAAAAAAAAAATATGTACAAATAGGAAAAAGAGAACCTTCTTGCTACATGACTGAGTATCTCCAAAGATATCAAGAAAATTATTCACGTGATTTGGATGCTGTATTTGGTCTTGAAAGTTCTAACACAGAGGGGCCCAGTCTAGGTTTTCCCCCAAAGCAGTATCTTTTGAGGCAATATGAGTTGGCAGTCTCCTTGACCAATCAAGAGCTACAGCATCAAACCTGGGATTTGGGGTGGGGAAGTGTATTCTAACACCACTCAATTCTGCAGCTCCCTTTGGAACAAATAGAAACAGCAGGAACTGCAGCTGGGCTGACCCATCTCCTGTCCCCATGACCATGAACAAGGAAGGACAAGGGGCTAGCAGCAGATGTGGGGCCACTGGCCCATGCTGTGAAGTCCCTGTTCTAGAAAATGGATTTGAACCACCAGAGGACTTAGGAGCTGACTCCTTTGAGTGTCTGTT